CCCCCCCCCCCCCCCCCCCCCCCCCCCCCCCCCCCCCCACCACTCTGAGAGTCTAGGAACAGATAGTTGAATTAGACAAAGGAGAACGAACCGGAAACAGGAAGAAAAAGAAATCCATGCTTCTGAGAGTGTAAGCCAGTGCTGACCAGACCAGACCAGATCAAGGGCTATAGAGCTCTGGAGAGAGGGAGGTCGTTTTTCCATCTATTGAGGATTGAGGACAAGGACTCTGAAGGCCTGCCTCTCTAGGCCTCTTGGATGAATGATCCCTCATCTTGTGTGCACCCGCCCTCACCTGATATTGTCAATCCAGCAGTCAATGATAACAGGCAGAAGCAGTTCGAGATTCAGCCAGAGTGTAAAGTAGCTGTCTGTCCTCTTGGAGCAAAGGTAGTGTACAACCTTTGGCTTATCCAGCTTTGCTTCCAACTGGTTACCCAAATCACCAGGCACTGCAGAAGAAAAAGACAGGGATGGCCTTAGACCCTGGCAGCTGGTGACCCCCCCAAGCTTCTTGCAGTCTGCAAAAGAGCCACTCAGAGTGATAAACACTATGGCATGTCTTCCCAATCCTACAATTGAAGTTGAAGCACAATGCCAACTGGGAAAATCAGAAAAGGCCAGGACACCACCTTCATATAGAAAAGCCGCTACTATCAGGGCATGGTGGTGGATACCTGAAAATCCAGTACTTGGGAGGCTGAGGCAGGAGGATCAAGTTAGTGCTAACTCAACCTGGGCTATACAATGAGATCCTGTTTCAAAACAAACACAAACAAGAGCCACATTAATGGGAAAGAAGCTGCAGCAGACAGTGGCGGATTAAAGAGAGGCCTGGCATGTTTGGGGGTGGGGCTGTGATGTTATGTGATAAAAATAACTTCCCTAGATCACCAAAGGAACTTCCTCATTGGCCATTCAGAAGGGAATTCAAAAACCAAGTCACTTCCCCAAGAGAGGCTGTGGATACCTCTGAGACCTCAGCTACTGATGGTTTCTAAGGTTAATGGACCCAGATCATCCTCTAACGAGGAGGGATTTTGAGGCTCATGAGTTTTTCAGAACCTCCAAATTTTTGGCCAATGCTACAGCCCTGATATCAGATATGCACCACCCTCCGGGCTTGCTAAAAAGAAAAGCAAGGTCTTCTCTACCCCTTGGCAGTGGGACACAAGACAGACGGTAAGCCAAAAACTAAGTCTAGAAGCAGTATTCTTTTTTTTTTTTTTGGTTTTTCGAGACAGGGTTTCTCTGTGTAGCCCTGGCTGTCCTGGAACTCACTCTGTAGATCAGGCTGGCCTCGAACTCAGAAATCCGCCTGCCTCTGCCTCCCAAGTGCTGGGATTAAAGGCGTGCGCCACCACCGCCCGGCTTAAAAGCAGTATTCTTATGTTTAGTTTGTTTTTATCTGAGACAGGGTCTTGCTGACATCAAAAGCCTGCTTTTCCTGCCTCCAACCTGCCAAACGCTGGGATTGCAAGTTTCTCCTGTCCGTAGGAGTCATGATTAAAACACACACACACACACACACACAAAGCCGGGCGGTGGTGGTGCACCCCTTTAATCCCAGCCTTTGGGAGGCAGAGGCAGGCGGATTTCTGAGTTCAAGGCCAGCCTGGTCTACAGAGTGAGTTCCAGGCCAGCCAGGGCTATACAGAGAAACCCTGTCTCAGAAAAAAAAACACACACACACACACAAATGAAAGAGAAACTATAATGTTACCAGTAGGCCTTGCTAAAGGCCAGGAAAGTTCCAGAGGGTAGGTCCTGTGGAAAGCCTTAGCTCGGTGGAGAGGTGTGCTACAAACGGCTAATCTGCAATCACATGCCACACCAGCCACAGGGCAGGGTGTGTGACCACCAAGTTCCAAGCATGACAGGATACCACCCTTGTCAATCTCTTTGGGCCACACAAACCCTAGGGCCTTGGTAACACCCAAGCTCACACCCATCCCTTAATGTCCAGCACTTAAAGCACCGTTAACATTACAGGCCACCACCTACATTCTGAACACTTTACAAGGATAACCTCCTCCACCCCCCATCACCCCACCCCAGCTTTTTTTCCTAGAAAGGTTTCTCTGTGTAGCCCTGGCTGTCCTGGAACTCAGATCTGCCTACCTCTGCCTCCTGACTGCTAGGATCAAAGGTGTGTGCTACCAACGCCTGAGGAGAAAACCCTTTTTAAGAGGCACAGTCACTATAAAGAGCCCCTTGTCTTTGAACCTAGCATAGCACATGCCCTTGCCTAAGCAGCTAACCTAGTGTCTTCAGAGTGTCATGGGAAGGCACGTGCCTTCCACTCCCCTCATGATGTGAATGCCAAAGCAGGAAATTCCCACCCTGGGAGCCTGTACATGACATGCCTGTGAACTGGGCAGGAGGACTGGTCAATGTCTCCATGCACTGAAGGGGAAATGGGTGAAAGAGGAAGCCACCAGATACCCCTTCCCTGGTCAGGCTGTGAGACCTCTAAAAATAGCAATGGCCCCTTCCTGAGGTACTTGGCCCCTGAGACAAGGACAAGATTTTTGCTTCAAATACAAAATTTCAAAAAACAAAATTTTTACTTCAAATAACCCTGTTCATCTTTACCTTTATATACATTGTAAAATTCATTTTGTTTGTCTGTATGTATGTGTAGGGGTAAGAGGAGAGAACAACCTCGCACATATGCAAAGGCTGGAGGACAACTTGCCAGAATTGGTCTCATCTGGGGATAGAACTCGGATCTTCAGGTTTGGTGGCAATCTCCTTTGCTCACTGAACCTTCTTGCAGGCCCTCTTTGTTCACTTAACAGGTAAGAAGACTGAGGCTGAGATGGATGCAAACAGATTGCCTAAGGTCCCAGCCCCTGCTCCAAGATCAGTTTTCTGCTACCTCTTCTACTAACTCAGGACCCGCACTTTGTGCCTAGAAACAGCTCTCTCTGGTCTGAGCTCACAGCAGCAGCCCCAGTTCTTGAAAAGACGCACAAGAGTGCAGGTGCTCAGATCCTTTCGGAGTCTAAGGCTTCTCTGCTATGATTTAGGATAACCAAAGTCTGGCTGGATTAATGAATGCAGTTAGTGCCAATCCGTTCAGGCAAAAATATATTGCAAACAAGCCAGGTGTGGTGGTGCACACTCCTTTAATTCCAGTGCTACAGAGGGAGAGGCGGACAGATCCCTGTGAGTTCAAGACCAGCCTGATCTACAAAGACAAGGCTACAGAGTGAGAGCCTGTCTCAAAAAAGAAAAAAAAAAAGGGGGGGGAGCAAACATGTATGAGGTCAGAGAATGCATACATCGCCATGCCAAGACACTTATTCTTCTTAGAACTCCTTACGCTTACACATGACTTCTTTACCCTGGTCCCCAGGGTAAAGTCCAGATGACCCAGTAAGTCACAAGCTCTACACCACCCATACCTCCCACATTTCCCCAGTTCCATTCCAACCAGCCTGGAGCCATCTTCCAACCGACCTTACATCCTGCAATACCCCAGGAAGGCTTTCCTGGTGCCCACTCAGCCAGGCTGACTTATCCAGTGCAGTCCTCATCTCTGAGAACCACTGTTGCCTCCATCTAGGAAGCTTGAGAAAGGCAGAGCCAACTGCATACAAATCTTAAAGTGAACCTAGGTTCAGAATCCCCCATACCCTTTTCTGACCTAAAATGCCTAATTTTTTGTTTTTGTTTTTTTGTTTTTCAAGAAAGGGTTTCTCAGCCAGGCATGATGGCATACGCCTTTGATCCTAGTACTTGGGAGGCAGAGGCAGGTGGGTATCTGAGTTCAAGGTCAGCCTGGTTTATAGACACAGAGTTCCAGGACAGCCAGGGCTACACAGAGAAACCCTAAGGCAAGACCAAAAAAAAAAAAAAAAAGAAAAAAGAAAGAGAAAGAGCGAGCACAGGAATTTATGTTCCAGCAGAGTAAATCTATATATAGTGTATGTTTCGGCATGTCTCTGTTCTCAGGAGTCCTGGCTGGCCACCGAAAGAAATACCAGTTCAAAATGACAGCCATTGACTGAATGGGGCATCTAAGACTCCCAGAGATTTCAGCCTGGCCTATTAGCATATGGAAACATTGTTATTTCTGTCCAGCTGCCAAGCCTGAGACGGAAGAACAAGTGGACAGGGAATGTCACCTGGCATCAGTACAGCCTGGAGTAATTAGGTCTGGTAGGGGAGAGGGGAGGCACGTTCTCTGACTCCCTTAAGGTCAGTTCATGACTGTTGTCCCAGCCCCTTCCTCTGTCTTCCCTTCCCTTAGCCATCTCCTCGAAAGTCAATGCCATCTATTCCATAAGCTGAGTGCAAAGAGAAATCATGTTGGTGGCTAGCATGGATAGAACTTGCTACCACTCATTCCGTGTGAATTACAGAGGGTTCGAGGGTGATGACTCCCGGGTAGACTAAGACCAATTCTGGGACTACCTAGGTAGGAACCCGCTGAGGTAGGGTTGAATTGCCTCAGTCTTTCCAGCTAAGAAATGGGGGCATGGCGAGGAAAGGTTTGGAGCTGATGCAGTTAAATGGAGTGGAAAACCGGACATTATCTATTCCCTTTGCTCTCATGTTTTAGAGGGTGCCAGACCACACCCATGCCCAGTATGGCGGGAGGTGGGCTAGTCAAACTGACCCAGGTTAGAAACCAAATGCTCTGGGTTTCGTGCTTAAAACAGATGCACAACAGAGTAGTTGGCCCAGCAGACCCTGGCTACACTGGATCCTGCAGGATCCACCCACCACCCCACCGGACACAAGTCTCACCTAGCACCACCGGGGGGTGACGTTGGGCCGGGAGCGCCAGGTCTGCCAGCATCATTAGTAGAAGCAGGGGGAACAGGAGGCCACTCCGGAGCTGGGTCTCGCGACAAGTGCAGAGATGGCGATCCATGGCGTGAGGCTGTGGCCGCAGGTCCAAAGGGCTGCTTCGGAGCTTAGAGATGGTGCCTAGGCCGGAGCCGCAGCGTCGCGCTTAACCCCATCGCTTGCAGCTACCAGTCAATTAGGACCCGCCTCTTGCTAAGGCTCTACCAATTGCAACTCTCCGCCACGAGCGTCCCTCCCACCGAAGCTCACCACCCGCCCATGCCCACCTCCCGGACTGTGCTGCGCGCCGAACGCATCGATCGACCGATGAGCGCTGCCTATCTCCCAGCTATAGTCCTGCTACTATCCCACAGCCCCATCTCACCTTGTACCCAACACGGTACAATTTTCAAAGTCCACTCAAGGAGTTCTCATTCCTAATTCCTAGCTTTCCCACACCAGAAGGACAGAAAACGTGTCCATCATTTGCTGTGGCTGAACGACCTCTCTCTAAACAAGAAAAGAGGAAATTGGTCCTAGACAGTTCGTTTGTTTTTTGGAACTCGGGTGACCAGCAGCTGTCCAGGACCTCTATACAGTCTTTACGCTGGCATCCCCAGGGGCATCTAGGTTTGGCCGTCCATGCCCAGAAAACTTTTGCTGTCTGCCTTGCCGGTAGAAATGCAGGTAAGACCCAAGAAACAGGTCTGGGAGAAGCTAGATCAGCCTGTTCCAAATGGTCTGTTTCTCTATAAGTGCACCACACGAGTAGAGTTGGAAGTGGTTTGGATCCGAAAGTCTGAACCATTTATTTGTAAGATTCCCCTGCAAAAAATAGGGCTCAAGAGCTCATTTAGCCCCTGTCCATGCAAGCCTGGGGACTCAGGAAGGGCATAAGACTAGAGCCAGAAGCTGAGGCCCAAGCAGACTAGGCAAAAGGCTCAACACTGGTAATATGCCAACGCTGTGGGGTTGAGCTCACCAGTGCTTCTGAGAAATAACCCTCCACACACTTCCTTCTGAAGGCCAACTGTGCTCCTGAGACATTGCTTGGTCCCAAGACTTCTGTCCCACCCCTCACCTCTTCCTTCCCTCTTCTTGGTAAACAGCTGACCCACATTAATGCCAATAATTCTTAGTTTTTATAGAAAAATAGGAAGTTATTTATTTATTCGACTTTATTTTTGTTTTTTGTTGTTGGGTGTTTGTTTGTTTTTCGAGACAGGGTTTCTCTGTATAGCGCTGGCTGTCCTCGAACTCACTCTGTAGACCAGGCTGGCCTCGAACTCAGAAATCTGCCTGCCTCTGCCTCCCAAATGCTGGGATTAAAGGCATGTGCCACCACTGCTCAGCTATTTTGGTTTTTTGAGACAGGATCTCTCTCTGTAGTTTCTGGGTATCCTAGTACTCACCAGGCTAGCCTCAAACTTACAGAGACCCACATGCCTCTGCCTCCCCAGTCCTGGAACTAAAGGTATGCACCATCACTTCATGGCTTAGGAAGTTTTTTTTTAAATGATTTATTTTAGGTGTATGATTATTTTTGCCCACATGTATGTATATGCATCACATACATGCCTGGTGCCTGCAGAAGTCAGAAAGAGGACTTCAGTCTACTGGAATAGTTACAAGCAGTTGCGAGGCACCATATAGGTACTGGGAATCAAACTACAGTCCTTTGGAAGAGCAACAAGTGCTCATAAATACTGAGGCATCTCTCTAGCCCCTGTAAGCAGGACATTTTAAAGCGCACTAACCAATACTGCGCCCTACTTTAATTTCTTGCACCCGTAGGAAGTTGCTACAGACTGGTCTGATGAAGGGCAGTAGAGAGTCATAGAGACACTCTGCCAAGTCTAGGGACAGTCAGAAGTCCAGAGCCAGGAGGGGGAGGGGAGATGCTAGAAGGCTTGGACAGCCTTGGGCATTGGCCAGTATGAGCACCTTGCCAAACTAGCAGTCTCAGATGACCACAGACCCCTGCAAGAGTGGCACTGTTTTCAACTGGGATTTAATGGTGTACCACCTCCACAAGTTCCACAAGTATTAGGAGTTGGGATTACTGGGGGAATGGTTAACAGTGACCTTTGCTGGTACTGTGGACAAACATCAGAAGATGAGCTCCTCCCTCTTTTTAAAACAAAGGCTTACTACATGGCCCAATGTCTTGGCTAGTTTTCTGTCAACTTGGCACAAAAAAAAGTTCCCTCTGAGAAGAGGGAACCTCAGTTTTTAAAAAAAAAGGGCTCCATAAGAACAGACTGTGAGCAGTTAAGCCTGTAGGGCAGTTTCTTAGTGATCACGGAAAAGTCCAGCCCACTGTGAGTCGTGTGATCCCTGGGCTGATGGTCCTTCCTGGGTTCTATAAGAAAGCAGGTTAAGAAAGCCATATGGAGCAAGCCAGTAAGCAGCAGTCCTCCATGGCCTTTGCAACAGCTTCTGCCTCCAGGTTCCTGCCTTCGTTTCCTTTAATGGGCTGTAATTTAGAACATGTAAGTCTTTTGACTTTCTCCCCTTTCTCTCCAAGTTTCTTTTGGTCATGGTGTTTCTTCACAGCTATAGAAGAAGAGATAATATGATCTTCACCAGAAGAGGGCATCAGACCCCATTACAGATGGTTGTGAGCCACCATGTGGTTGCTGAGAATTGAACTCAGGACCTCTGGAAGAGCAGTTAGTGTTCCTAACTGCTGAGCTATCTCACCAGCCAACCAAACCCCTCCATGGTAAAGAGCATTGACGTTCTTCTAGAGGACCAGGCTCAGTTACCAGCACCCAAGTGGCAGTTCCGCCCTCTGAGCTGAATGGCTAATTGGATCAGAGTTTACTATATTCAACTTCAGTTACTGAGGACCCAAGGTCTTCTTCTGACCTCTGTGGATACCAGGTAAACACACAGTGCACAGCTATACATGCAGCCAAAACATCAATAAACACAAAATAAAATAATACAAAAAACTATCTTAAAAATAAAATGAAGATGGGCCGTGGTGGTGCACGCCTTTAATCCCAGCACTTGGGAGGCAGAGGCAGGCGGATTTCTGAGTTCGAGGCCAGCCTGGTCTACAGAGTGAGTTCCAGGACAGCCAGGGCTACACAGAGAAACCTTGTCTTGAAAAAAAAAAATACACAAAAAAACCCCACAAAAAACAAAAATAAATAAATAAATAAATATAGAAAGAAAGAAAGAAAGAAAGAAAGAGAGAGAGAAAGAAAGAAAATGAAATGAAAATATCAACCTGTGTCTAGGCTCATGGCTGGTCAAATTTCTGAGAATAAACGACTATTGAGTGCTTAGTCATAAGCAGGACACCTATACTACCCCCTCCATGCCTCAGAAAATATCAAGGTAGAGGCAGAAGGAAGAGAAGTCAGAGGAGTACTAGAAAACTGACTAAGTATGGGCACTCGTCTTTAATCCCAGCACTTGGGAGGCAGAGGCAGACGGATCTCTGAATTTCGAGGCCAGCCTGGTCTACAGAGTGAGTTCCAGATACAAACCCTGTCTTGAAGAACCAAACCAGGGCTAGAGAGATGGTTCAGCGGTTAAGAGCACTGATTGTTCTTCCAGAGGTCCTGAGTTCAATTCCCAGCATCCACATGGTGGCTCACAACCATCTGCAATGGAATCTGATGTCCTCTTCTGGTGTGTCTGAAGACAGTGACAGTGTACTCACATATATAAAATAAATAAATAATTCTTCAAAAAAGAAAGAAAAGAAAACCAAAACCAAAAACCTTTGACTCATGGGCATGACATAGCAGCGTTTTGTTTTGGGTTTCTTTGAAAAATTTATGTATATGAGCCTTTAGGAGAGAAGTCATAGTCTTCAGTGATGTAGCCACTGATTCGTCTCTAAAATTCCAGGGAATAGCTACACACCTGTGTCCATGCTGGCAGTCCTGGTTAATCACAGCGGGTTGTAAAAACACAAAACAAACATGGAAGTGGAATAGAATTTGGTGGGAGGAGGGGAGGAGTGGGTGCAGGGATGAGTATATGCAGAATGTGTTATATCCGTGTATGAGACTGTCGATTAGCAGATTCAATCCTGTGTCTCACATGTAGATTTTGAAGACAGAGGGAACCGCTTGGCTGGTAGCATTAAGGCACTCCCTTTCTGTCCTTGGTTATTGCCCACGGAGAGATGTATGCTCTAACACATTACCCTCACCTTCTAACTCCCTCTTCTCGCAAACAGGTTAAAGCCACAGAGTCAGCGCGCCCTCTGGTGGTAGCAAGCGATTACGCACGGACTCGAATATGACAGCCAGCTGGCTATTCCTAGTTACCCAGAAGTCCCTTGGAAGAGAGGTTAGCTGGAAGCAGCTGAGGAAGAATATTGATCCTCTTGTCGAATCTTGTTCTATTGCAGGAGATTTTCTGGTCGAGAAGGAAAGGGACAGTTTTCCTCCATTCCTATTAATATAAAAGTTTATACCAACACCCCTCCCCCTGCCAACCCATGTGAGTGACAGTGGACAAACTGTATTTTTTTTTTTTTTTTTTTTTTTGCAGAACCTTGTGTGCACTCCCTTGAAACATGGTCCCTTTTTCCTAGAGTGCAGTTTGGGATAGGACTCACTCTGTTCAGTGACTGTGGCTGGGACCTTCACCAGTACAGAAATCTCAGACTGCACAGAGAATCCCTGTTAGAGTAGGTATCTTTTTTTTTTTTTTAATGTAGGTACTTTTAAGAGGTGAACATATCACGGAAGAGTAGAGGCAGGCTGGGAGGAAACTATTGCTGGCATAGAAAGCAGAAGCAGGGCAGAAGAGATGGCTCCAAAGTTAGAACACTGTTGCTCTTGCTGAGGACCCTGATTCAATTCCCAGCACCCACAAGTGACTCCAGTTCCAAGGAGTTTGACATCTTTTGTGAACACCAGGAATGCATGCATATGGTACACACATATACTTGCAGGCAAAATACTCACACACATTTGTACTGTCTGCCTTTTGTGTGTCAATTTTATACAAGCTGGAGTTACTACAGAGAAAGGAGCCTCAGTTGAGGAAATGCCTCCATGAGATCCAGTTATAAGGCATTTTCTCAATTAGTGATCAAGGACTGGAGAGCCCATTGTAGGTGATGCCACCCCTGAGCTGGTAGTCTTAGGTTCTCTAAAAAGCAAGACAGTATGCAGCACCCTTCATGGCCTCTGCATCAGCTCCTGCCCCCAAGTTCCTGTCCTGTGTGAGTTTCTGTCCTGACTTCCTTTGGTGATGAACAGCAATGTGTAAGTGAAAGCTGAATAAACCCTTTCCTCCCCAACTTGCTTCCTGGTCATGTTTTGTGCAGGAATACAAACCCTGACTAAGACACAGGTTAAATTTAAAAATAAATATATTAAATAAGAAAAAGAAAGTGGTGTAACACACTTTTAATCCCAGCACTGGAGTGGCAGAAATAGGCAGATCTCTAGGAGTTCGAGGCCAGCCTGGTCTACAAAGCAAGTTCCAGTACTGTCAAAAACCAATAAACAAACAAACAAACTTAGTACACAGATAGGGTCTTAAAGAAAAAGTGTTTTGGGGGTGGAGAGATGGCTCAGCGGTTAAGAGCACTGACTGCTCTTCCAGAGGTCCTGAGTTCAATTCCCAGCAACCACATGGTGCCTCACAACCATCCGTAATGAGATCTGATGCCCTCTTCTGGTGTGTCTGAAGACAGCAACAGTGTACTCATATAAATATAGAATATTTTTTTAAAAAGTGTTTTAAGTTGGCTTCATGGGGTAGGGTAAGGAATACAAAGTTGTCTATTAAATGATAGTTTGATCTAAGACTCGTTATTTGTTTTGAGACAGGGCCTCTGTATGCAGGCTGTCCTAGACTGGGCTAGCCGTGATCTGACAGAGATCCACTGTTCTCTACTGGAATTAAAGGCAAGTACTACCGTACTTGGCAATAAATGATTTTGATGTTTGTTTTTCGAGACAATTTCTCTCTAGCTCTGGTTGGCCTCGAACTCAAGAGATCCTCCTGCCCCTGCTTCCCCAGTCCTGGGATTAAATGCAGGAGCCACTACCCTCTGGCTAAATAATTTATTCTCTATTTTATTTACTTTTGCCTATCTGGCAGCTCCAGGTGGCATGGAACTCCTGTGGTGAGTGCAAACCCATACTCAACTACTAATCTTTCAGCTTTGTTGATTTAGCACCTGGAACTTTCAAAACTTAAACCAAGCTATCTTGGATCTTGCAGCCATCCTCTGGCCTCTGCTTTTTGAATGCAGAGGCGCTTCTAGCTGGGTTCCTAAGCACTTGGGAAGTGAAGGCAAGAAAATCATATTTGCAAGGTCGTCCTCCACTATGTAGCGAGTATATGGGTACATGACAGCCAGATATAAAAACAACGAGGGTGTAAGAGGGTTTGCTTGAGTTCTGTGCCCAGGATCCATATGTTGGAAGGAGAGAACCACCCCCCACAGCTGTTCTCTGACCTCCACAGCGCCGTGGCACGTACGAGCCTACACAAAAACAAATAACTGTGATAAAACAAACAAACAAAAACCAAAGACTTTGGAAATTCTGGAATTGTTTTAATATGGGAAATGTCTGGATGAGTGAACCAGAGTTGAATGGAGCCGCCCAGTACTGTCGGCTCTTCAGTTTCGTTACCTTGCAGAAATCTGGGCGCAGCCGCTTCTTTTCAGGGGATTCAGGACAGCCAGGGATTCCACAGTCGAAAGTCTCCCGAGAATCGGGAAGCGAGGTCTACAAGTTGAACGAATTGGGGGAGCCTTGCCGGGTGGTTGTGGGTGGAAACCGATAACTGGTAGCACTGATACCGTGCAGAGACGTTAAGTCTCTGCCTCACTGAACCGGAGCCTGTAGCGAAGAAGTTTCAATAACCAGAAGGGTTGGGGTGGCAGGTAGAAGGAACTAGTTGGAAGGGAGTGTCCTACCGGAAAGCCTGGGCTGACGCAGGCGCGCTCCGGAATGGGAGGGAGGAGGGGAGGAGCTTTACCTCAGGGTTTCGCTGGGTTCCTAGAGCAAATATTTGACATTCCAGGCTTATCGTGGTAGCGAGGCTCAGTAGGCGGGCTCCCGGTGGGTCGCCCCAAGAAGCATTGCTGGGTATGCACAGCAACCACTTTCCACGACATCGGGTCACTGTGTTCCTGCGCTATTGTGTGGGAAAACCCCGGAGGCGCACTATCCATTCTAGGTTCTCTGGCTCCGCGCGACCTTCCTTGGGCATGAGTTGGGGATGCACACGGGTCCTGGGCTGCCTTTTATCCAAGATTGATATGAAGAACCCCGCTTTTCCAAACACAGGAGGCTTTTCAGTCTCGGCATGCTGTATTCTAAGTCCCACGCCAGGCTGTAGCTCTTTACTCTCGCTAGATTTCTAATTACAGTTGAATAGATGGAAAACTATCCTGAGCTCATAGGGCAGCCTGGAAACTGTAAGGGAGTTTCACCAAACGGCATGGAGCGAATGGGACTAGTCTGAACTGGGCTGGGATTCAGACTCCCGTACACAGCTCAACTCTAGCCGCTGCCTGCCGGAGTGCTTTCAATAGCCAGATAACACTTCTAGCATCATCCAAGAGAGACAAAAACAAGCAGGCAAACCCCAAGTGGTGTCGATAGGCTGAACCTCCAGACCCCTTGCAGCTGACACAGCTTCATTTAGGATACAGCTCTCTAAGGTATGAGGCGAGGTTCTCCTACCATGGCATCAAGGCCTGGGCCTTCAGGTCCACAGTAACTTGCGCTTTACACTGCCGGCACTACGCCGACTCTAACACCTGTACGGGCATGTCCTTCTCTGTGATCTCTGGTGACCGCCCACAGTTCTAAGAACCCTTGATCTTTACCGCCTTCCCTTTCCCCCAACGGATCTCTCCCACCGCCTTCCAGTGGATACCTGGTAGCGCTCATTGCCGGCTTTTGACATTTCGTGCCTTCCATTAACCTCAAGCCAGACGTCGCGACCCTTACAGTCCCTAGAGGGCCTCCGGTTAACTTCCACGGATCTCGCCTGACCCCTTGCGGAATGGAAATGGCCTCTGATCCTGCACATTCTTTTGCGGAGGACTCATAGCGCCTGCTGGAGAGGAAGTAGGAGAAAAGAATGGATTCGTCCCAGGAGTCTCACTGGACAGCACTAAGAGGTGGGACTCCAGCGGCCGAGCGCACGCCCCGGCAGAAGTAAGCTCTTGCCTCCCGGGCAGAGTTCTGGCCCTCCAGCGAGCTTCCCTGGGCCGCCCTGATCACGTGGCCTCCCGGGCCGCAGGTAACTCGCCGGAGTAGGCTGGGATCGGCAGCCGCACTGCCCAGCCCCAAAGGGCACGGCGGGCGGGTCCCTGCAGCTCCCACTACACCCTGCCGCAGGTGCCGCCCCCAACACACCGGATCCCGCCCAAGCTCGTCTGTCTACTGTCGGTCGGTACGTGCGTGCGCCTCGTCGGTCCGCGTGTGTGTGTGTGTGGCCGAGCGCCCCCTTCCTCTGCGGCCATGACTCCACCGCCACCGCCGCCCCCACCCCCGGGCCCAGATCCCGCAGTAGACTCCGCCACAGACCCCTGTCCCGAACCCCAGTCTCTGGTTGTTTTGTTCGGGGCCACTGCTGGTGCGCTGGGGCCGGACTTAGGCACGGACGAGACCGACTTGATCCTCCTAGTTTGGCAAGTGGTGGAGCCGCGCAGCCGACAGGTAGGGTGGAAAGAGGGGACATCGGGACGCTTCAGGGCCTGTTGAGGCACAGCGGCTCATTGGGTTACCCCTGGTGCTTTTAGGTGGGGACGCTGCACAAGTCGCTAGTTCGCGCTGAGGCGGCTGCCCTGAGTCCACAGTGCCGCGAGGTGAGCGGACTCAGCGCAGACAGCCTAGCGCGGGCCGAGTCCCTGGACAAGGTGTTGCAGCAGGTGAGCGTGGGGGCCCGCGTGGGTGGTGGAACTGCGAAGTGGCAGGGACACTACCTTCCCCCCTGTGGGAGGGGGAGGGCAGGAGGGGAGGCCCGGAGGACGCGACCCGCTGTCATGGACAGTAGGACAGGATCTTGTTTGAAACTTTAGATCGACTACCGCGTGCTAGGCCATTCCCAGAGACAGCTTACCTTCCAACCTTTACAGGCATCCACTCCTGCCGAGGGAGTTGACAATAGCGGCTGAGGGATCCACCCCCGAGGTCCCTTCCTCTCCCTTCCACTCCTCGCTAGCAGAGGACACCTCAGAAATAGAGTCGAGGGGCTCAGGTCTGGCCGTAGATCCCTTGGTCTCTGCACTCCTGGGAACAGCTGAAGCGAGGGCGTCGGGCGGTGTCTGCCCCAGGGGCAGACGCCTCTAGGTGAGGGCGGCTGGTTTAGGCCTGTCCCAGCCGACTGGCCAGGCGTGGGTGGGTGCTGTCCGTACACTATCTAGGGGCTACCTGCCCAATGAATGCAAGGCCTAGGAGCATGCCCCACACACACACCGCGCGCCCTGGCCAAGTGGGAGTGAGTCTCACTATTTTCTCTGTCTGCACTGCTGCTCACCCCATGACTGAGTTGTAATGACTGTACGTACGTCCCTTAGAAGCCTAGGTTCTTTCCTCTTCCAACTCTGGTTCTTAATGAGGAACTTACAGATGCTGAATCTGAGCCATGTTACAGAAAGGCTCCAGACCTACTGCTCACCTGGGAGGGTGCTGTAGAAAATCTGGGTGCTTTTTGCTCTGTCGGTCTTAGATTGAAAAGTGTCACAGAATTGGCAGGGTAAGGACAGGATCATGCTGGATAGCCTTCAGAGTGCCACCCCCTCTATGAGCAAACAGTTCAGTGCCAGTTAGTTGGTCGATAAGGTTTGGGTCAAAGCTCAGGCTGGTGCTAGTGTCCGAGTATGAAGCTCTGTCCTTGGTGTTTCTCTGTTCCTGGGTTGGTCAGACCAAGGGGCGGGGCTGCCACTGACCGTGAGCCTTTTGGCCCTCGGGCAGGTGTGAACCTCCCCCACCTGTCTGAGGGTGGTGCCTGATCCAGGACAGGTTTAACCTGCTCTGCCCCTCCCCTCCCCACCTGCTTGCCTCACTCCACCAGGTGTTTGCTCTGGCCCGACTCCAGACTCCTCGAGTGTGTTTGATGGGGGCTTGGGTTATGTGCGGCTGTTCTCATTTGGCCTAGAGGAGGTGACAGTGGACTAGGGCAAGGGTGGGGATTAGGAGCCTGGGATTTAGGGCAAGGCCTTCTACTTCCCAGGCAGGGTAGGGTTGAGCATCCTGCTGAACTAGCTTTGCAGCCTGAGTCCCTCCCTCCTCTTACCCCCCCCCCCCCCAGTTTCAGTTGCCTAGCTGTGAATCTATGTCTGAGTCTCCACTCCCTGTCCCCAGTTCTCACAGCTGGTGAGCAGGGATGTGGCTCTGCTGGGCGGGGGCCCCTATGTGCTCTGCACTGATGGGCAGCAGCTGTTGCGACAGGTTCTGCATCCTGAGGCCTCCAGGAAGGTATGTCATTGAGGGCACATGGGTAAGGTTGGGTTCCCAAGGCCCCTGTTATAAACACCTTAGGTTACCTATTCATCCCCACTCCCATGTGCTCCCAGAACCTGGTGCTCCCCGACACCTTCTTCTCCTTCTACGACCTCCGCAGAGAATTCCATATGCAGCATCCAAGCACCTGCTCCGCCAGAGACCTCACAGTGGGCACCATGGCACAGGGTATCTGTGACCCATCAGAATTAAGGTGGAGGGGTGACTAGTATGTCCAAGCATGTGCACGATGCCATATGGGTTGTATTAATGTAGGCAGGTCTATGTTTTGGGCCTCATTCTTTAGGATACCCATGTCTGCATCTATGCTGGGATACATTTGGAACGTGGACATGTCTGTTTGGTCTGAGGACCTGTAGGTACATGCATGAACTGGGCCATAGCTAGTGTTTGCAAGGATTCTGTGGGTGTTTGGGAGTAATGTGGGATGTATGGACCTGGACCTCAGTTGTCACTTCTCTGCCTATAGACTTGGGACTAGAAACAGATGCTACAGAAGATGACTTTGGGGTCTGGGAAGTGAAGACTATGGTAGCTGTTATTCTCCACCTACTTGAGGGGCCCAATGGTAAGATTCTTGCCCTGCTTGTCAGCTACTGTCAGGGTTGGGTGAATGCCCATTACTTCCTCAGAGTCCTCTTGCAGTCCTCTTGTGACCTTCTCTAAGAGAACACAAGGTGGACCCCCCCCCCCCCCGTCACCTCCTCAATTCCCTCACCTGTCCTATTTTTGCAGAGCTTGGTGGGGAGACTTCCTCCACCAGACCCTGCTGACCCCCTTGCCATCTCCTCTCAGGTCAGTTGTTCTCGAAGCCAGAGGTGGTAAAGCAGAAATATGAGACGGGGCCTTGGTGAGTGTGGGAGCAGGGATGGGGGTGACAGTCTTTGGACAGCTCTGACCCTGTGCCCTGCCCCCACAGCAGCAAGGCTGATGTGGTGGACAATGAGACTGTAGTACGGGCCCGTGGGTTGCCCTGGCAGTCATCAGACCAGGATGTGGCTCGATTCTTCAAAGGGCTCAACATTGCCAGGTGGGTGTGGCAGGATGGGAGGGGTAGGAGGGCAAGCCTACCCAGAAGGCACTAACAGCATCGGCTCCACAGGGGTGGTGTGGCCCTCTGTCTCAACGCCCAGGGCCGCAGAAATGGCGAGGCCCTCATCCGATTCGTGGACAGCGAGCAGCGGGACCTAGCGCTGCAGAGACACAAACACCACATGGGTGTCCGCTATATTGAGGTGGGGCTTTTGGCTAAAAGTGGAGCAGGGCAAAGCTAAAAATAAGGACTGAGACCTATGGGCTGCTTTCTATACCTGCAGGTATATAAAGCCACAGGGGAGGAATTTGTAAAGATCGCAGGGGGTGAGTGTCTTTTGTCTTGATCTGTATCCCATTCCGCACACTGTCTCTTGGGTCTCCTGTGGGTGCAATGCTACAAGGATTAAATCAGCAAGGGACTCCTGTCCTTCCAATCTAGGCACATCACTAGAGGTGGCCCGTTTTCTATCACGGGAAGATCAAGTGATCCTGAGGCTACGGGGACTGCCCTTTTCAGCCGGGCCAACAGATGTTCTAGGTTTCCTGGGGCCAGAATGCCCAGTGACTGGGGGTGCTGATGGGCTGCTCTTTGTGCGCCACCCTGATGGCAGGCCTACTGGGGATGCCTTTGCTCTCTTTGCCTGTGAGGAGCTGGCGCAGGCTGCTCTGCGCAGGCACAAAGGCATGCTGGGTAAGCGATACATTGAACTCTTCAGGAGCACTGCAGCTGAGGTGCAGCAGGTGAGCACTCAAGGCTCCTCGTGCCCCAATGTGCTGCTTCTTCAGCATGTGACTTGGGCCCCCTACTTAGCATGATAAACCTGTTGCCTTTTTTTTTTTTTAAACTAGGTCCTTAACCGCTATGCAACCAGTCCACTCCTTCCCACATTGACTGCTCCGCTGCTGCCCATTCCCTTTCCACTGGCAGGAGGAACTGGGAGGGACTGTGTACGCCTTCGAGGCCTGCCCTACACAGCCACCATTGAAGACATTCTGAGTTTCCTAGGAGAGGCAGCAGCTGACATACGGCCTCATGGTGTGCACATGGTGCTCAACCAACAGGTAAGACTACTGTCAGGAAGGGCATCTACAGTGGATGCGTTAGGAGTGAGGCACTTTTGTATGTGACAAACTGCTTACAAGGTGGTGTGCACAGGGCCGGCCATCTGGTGATGCCTTCATCCAGATGATGTCAGTGGAGCGTGCTCTGGCTGCTGCCCAGCGGTGCCACAAGAAGATGATGAAAGAACGCTACGTGGAAGTAGTCCCTTGTTCCACAGAGGAGATGAGTCGTGTGCTGATGGGGGGTTCATTGAGCCGCAGCGGCATGTCCCCTCCACCCTGCAAACTGCCCTGTGAGTGCTTCTTGGGCTAGAGGAAGAAGCATGTGGGAGCCAAGCTGTTCTAAGCTATCACTTTCTATTCCATTTCTAGTTACCCTATTCAGGGTAACTGGGCTCTTGATAAAATGTGCTCTTCACTTGTCTCTAGGCCTCTCACCACCTACCTACGCCACCTTCCAGGCCACCCCAGCCCTCATTCCCACAGAGACGACAGCACTATATCCCTCATCTGCACTGCTTCCGGCTGCCAGGGTACCCGCTGCTGCCACTCCTCTTGCCTACTACCCAGGGCCAGCCACTCAACTCTACATGAACTACACCGCCTACTACCCCAGGTATCTCGCTGCTCAGATAGTCTCAGACCTCCTGTCACCACAAAGGATCAAACACAAGGCATAGGTACAGGAGAGGATGGTCTTGGTCTAGGCTCTAGATGGGATTTATGACTAATTTCTTGTCTTTCCCACCCTAGCCCCCCTGTCTCTCCCACTACTGTGGGCTACCTCACCACACCTCCTACTGCCTTGGCCTCTACGCCCACCACAATGTTGTCACAGCCAGGAGCCCTGGTCCGAATGCAAGGGGTCCCATACACAGCTGGTATGAAGGATCTGCTCAGTGTCTTTCAAGCCTATCAGGTGAGGTTGTGTTGGTAGGGAGGGCTGGAGAGCCTAGCTGAGCCTGGCGCTCCAACCCCTAAATATGTGTGACTTCTGCAGCTGGCTCCTGATGACTATACCACTCTGATGCCTGTTGGTGACCCACCTCGAACAGTGTTACAAGCCCCCAAGGAGTGGGTGTGTTTGTAGATAGAAGAGGAAACCAGGAAGCAAAATGAGCTGAAGTAGCCAGCTAACAAGCCTGAGTCCAGAGCAACTCGATCCAGCAGCTTCTTTCTGGCTTGTCAAAGCACTCAAAGGCACCTGGAAAAGACCAAACTCAACACCAGTCTCCTTCCTCCCATATACCCTTTTCTCTGCCTGCTTACTCTAAGGATGATGGATGGCTACCTTACAGGCGGAGCTGGAGATGTGATGCGGCTGTTCTATTTCTGATGGTGTGACAGCCAGAAAACCTTCCATCTGTCTTCCACCCTCAAATACTGAGTTTGAAGGGTGCACAGCAGGCCTGTGTTTCTGTTAAGGCTTGGTACCTTTAATATTTATGACTGTAGGCATCAAGTGAGCACTCACTCTCAGGATACCTGGACTCAGCCAGGGGTGGCTTCACAATAAGTATGCTGACCCCTCTCCAACCACGCCAAAGTTGTTTGGGATGATAAATCACTAGCTGACTGGCTCACGCCTGTAACCTCAGCACTCAGGAGGCAGAGACAGGAGAACTGCCTCAAATTCAAACCCAGCCTGCTTTACATAGCAAATTCTAGTCTAGCCAAGGCTGTATAGCCCCCTACCATAAACAAAACCCCAAGCTATTCTAGATTGTGCTGCTGAACTATCCCCAGTGAATACCACCAGAGGGCAGGTAGCACATGTAAACTCAGGTTAAAGGGGACTTTGCCAACCTTTTCTTGCAACACTTGGAAGACCAGTTGTCCAGAAGCCAGCAAACACCATGACATGTCCTTTGCACTGATTAAAGGGTGCAGAACTCAAGCCTTAGAAGGAATTTTGAACTGGTCAAGCGGACTTTTAAAAAGCCACAGAGCCTTTGGCCCAGAGGGCTCCACACCAGTTCCAGGTGGAGAGAAACTCAGATTTCAAGGAGACTGTTAATCTGTCACTGTTTATTATTTCAGCACTGTAACTGAGGAGGAGCCTGAACTGCTGGCTCATCTTCCCTTTGTATTTGTATAAGGAGTACTGCACTCCTATAAAAGATTTTAAAATACAAAATGTACAAGAAAACACAATCCCAAGTGCTGTAAACATAACCAAGAACCAATTTCTTCACCTACACATCCGTTCTATAAAACACAAGGTTTCAACTTGTGTTCTACATGTTAAAAACTGGGCTTCTCGGCTAGGCCCAGCAGAGGTCTTGTGATACTGGCTGGCCCTGGGTGTTGGTGGGTTGTACCCAGGGCAGCAGCACCACCACATGTGAACCCAAACATTTTTCTAGCAAACAGAAGGCTGCTCCTTCATTCCTCAACCCAAGCTCTAGAACAGGTGAGAGGAAAGGGTGTGTGCTAGCAAATGCCCAGTTGCTCAGTGCTGCTACTAGAAATCAATTTGCATAGTCCAATGGATGTGTGCTTTACCACCACAATTCTGCACAAAAATTGAAGTATCTACAAAGCCAAAAAATATGACTCTTACATGAAAGCTTATACAAAGCTAATATAAAACCATTACATAGAATACAAAGCTGTATCTTAAACTCTAACCTGTTTTAAATAGGAAAGCATTTCTAAGGCTACAGGCATCAAGGTATTTAAAAGGCATCAAAATTTGGTGCATAGCAACTCTGGATCATAGAGGCTTTTATTCTTGAAGGCAGCAAAGCAGCACCCCAGGGGGTCTTGCAATGACCCTATATGAGGCAACTGCCCCAGGGGAAAGAGGAAGCAAATTTGGCCAAGTCTCTGCAAGTTCACCTGAGAGGCCAATGCCCTTTAGAAGAAGCTGTGGGCTACCAACCATGGGGCCCCTAAAGCAAATCTCACTATTTACACTCATTGATATAAAACTCACCTTCAGAGAAATTTGGAAACTATCTAGCTCCAAGAGTGGCCAGAGCAATCTGCTGATAAGACTGTTCTCTAACTAGTTTTAAGGGAGAAGTGTAAAGCATTGTGTTAAAAACAAACACATCTCTCAACTTGAATCAGTACCTTCTACCCTGCTTACTAGGGGTGGTAGGCAACAGGCCAGCTCCTGCTTAGTAGGCCTGATGTAGCCTTAGTAAAGACAGACAGCCCCTACCATCAAGGGTCACAATCACCTAGAGTAACAGCACTAAGTCTTCAGCCAGTGCAGCACAGTGTCTCACTTATAGGCACTCAATTTGCTTCCTGAATGAATGAAAGTACAATATTTCATTTGAAAACAGACTGTAAAATTCAGGGACTTTAAAAGGGGAGAGTAAAGGCAGGGTCTGGCAACAGTCCTTTGGTAGACAGCAGGCTGGAGTTTCTGCTGACCCCTGCCTTGGACACAGACCTCACCACCAGCAGCAGCAGCACCACCGTGTCTTTGGTGTGGAAGGACAGGTCTGATACCACCTCATTTCAGGGTGTGTCTCAAAGCCTTGTAGAGCAAAGGCTGGTTTTTAGGTCATATAGCCGAGACACCATGGGACAGGCTGTAAACAGGAGATAAGCCTTCTATGCCATGTGAATCTTAAAGCCTTCTTGACTGGAGTCCTGCATTTTCTCTGCCTCTCCTATTACACAGCTCATTCACACTTAGCTCCTAACACTGCTGGCCTGACCTCAAGGAGTTAAAACTGAAAATCCTTAAACTATCAGGATACTGGCTTCAAAGATTATAAACTAAAGGCAGAGGCTCCCACTTGAAAAATTAGGTAGAAAATAACTACCTAAGCTAAAACCCTACCTTTGAAACTCACCTTACAAATGAACATTTAACCCAAGGTCCTGAGGGGAGGAGAAAGCTTGAACATGGAGCTAGTGGAAAAATTGCTTGATAACTACCTAAGTTACAAAAGGCTATGCTCTGGAATGTATTCATATCCCAACACTTCAATGATGGAATGGTCTTCTCAATCTACCTAGCACTTTATTTTATAAAGAGTATGAGCTACATTTGGCTTTATTTCCTATGAATCTATGAAAGGCTTCAGGATGCATGCTAAGTTTCTGAGGTGTAAGTGTGGGCTTAGGATAATTTTTTTTGTCTGCATCTGGAAGGTTTTTATCAAAAGTTCTATTTTAAAAATATCATCAAAACTAAAGGGCTCTTCAAATGACCAGAAAGCAGTACAAATTACTAATCCTAGCTATGCAACCAGGTCACCTGCAAGAACAGCACCTCTGAAATAGAGCCTGCTGCATTCACACTCAAAGCACCCATCATATAAAAGATCCTATTTAAATATATATATATGTATAAAAAGCAAAGCTCATTTTCCCACAGCATAAACAGCTGATGCCGTTCCTGTTCTTTTACAAACTCTGCCCAAGGCTTAAGGTGAACGAATGCTCCTTTTCCTGCAGTGAGTCCAACTCCTGCAACTGAAGTCTGGTTGGAAACTCAAGTTCCAGGAGAGCAGCAGGCTGAGCAGTTGATGGTGGGCACAAAGCTTCACTGAGCACTGTTAGAACTCATCAGATCTGGGGACTCTGGACCTGGGAGAGGAGCGTCTCTGATCACCTCTGGGGCTTGGGAAACAGAAATGTGGGACATGTCTCTCCCAATAATCTCGTTCACTGAAAAAGAAAAAGAAGAGTGATTAGCAACTTCAAAGGAATATCATATGAGGTTTTCATTTGTTCTCTCAGACATTTTCCTTTGGATGGCTTTGAGTAAAGGTAAAGGCAGCACTTGACGGTTGCTTGCTGACTGACACCAAAGATGAAAGCATCATTCCTCAAGGGGCTGAAGGTCCCCATTTCTTCCCCGTAATTTCAGTTTGGACTTTAAAAGTAATGGCTGAGAACAGGCAACCTTTTGTTAAAATATATTTTATTTTATGTGTATCGATGTCTGTACACCATGCACTTTATGCCTGGTGCCCTTGGAGGTCAGAAGAGTTCCCCTAGAAATGGAATTACAGATGGCTGTGAACCACAATGTAGGTGCTGGGAATCAAATCCAGGTCCTCAGCAAGAGCAGCAGGCGATCTTCTTGTTTGTTTTGTTTTTAGAGACAGGGTTTCTCTGTATAGCCCTGGCTGTCCTGTAGGCCTCGAACTCAGACATACATCTGCCTTTGCCTCCCATGTGCTGGGATTAGAGGAGACACACACACACACACACACATAGAGAGAGAGAGAGAGAGGGAGAGAGAGTCCCGGGGCGGGCAGCTGGAGATCAATAGTTAGGAGCACTGACTGCTCTTCCAGAGGTCCTGAGTTCAATTCCCAGCAACCATATGGTGGCTCATAATATCTAACTAGGATTTGATGCCCTCTTCTGCCATGTATGTGTACATGTAGATAAAGCACTTACATACACAGAATAAATAAAGGCATGTACCCCTGCTGCCTAGCAAGTGCTCTTTACTGCTGAGTCGTCTCCTTAGCTCCCACAAAAATTCTTATCCTCACTCCAAAAGCTCATGCTACAAGCAGAGCTGATAGGTACTATAAAAAATAAACGTTCAGGGGTAACTTCTGATCCAACGCCTTGCTTTTTTTTTTTGACTTCTTAGGGCACTGGGCATGAATACTGTACAAGGCATACATGCAGGCAAAACCCATACACATAAAATTTTTCCAAAATTTTTAAAAAGTAAATATTCACCTTATTCTAACTTTTCCTACTTTGAATTCCTCTGGGAAAGTTTTCCCTTTCGGTTTCCCACAGAGCTACCTAAGAATATAAAGTGAAAGAAATATTTTAGCCCAGCCGGGCGGTGGTGGTGCACGCCTTTAATCCCAGCACTTGGGAGGCAGAGGCAGGTGGATTTCTGAGTTCGAGGCCAGCCTGGACTACAGAGTGAGTTCCAGGACAGCCAGGGCTATACAGAGTAAACCCTGTCTCGAAAAACCAAAAAAAAAAAAAAAAGAAATGTTTTAGCCCGAGTCAACCACCAAGCTTTAAGGGGTGCTTTGTTGTCTTGTCCTAATAAATGTACCCTTTATTATGTGGGGGCATTTGTATATATGTAGTCCTTTCTAATTACAGGCTCTTGCTTTCTCTTATGTGCCCAATACTTCAGAAAGTACAATATCTGTGAGGCAAATGCCATAAATTTCCATTTGAAAGAAAAAAGTAAAAAAGCTGGCTGGGTGTGGTGGCTCACACAAGCACACAGGAAGCCAATCTAGACAGACAAGACAGAGGGAGCTCCAGGCCAGGCTGGGCTAGAGAGTGATACCCTGTCCTACCCTAAAAACTAACAAAATGAGAAGAACCAACAAGAAAGGAAAAAAGAAAAAGACAAAACACAACACAGTTCTTCTCACAGCATTTCCTGTCTCACTTTTCCTTTCTTATGGAGGGTGAGGAGTGGGGTGGTTGTTTTGTCTTAGAAGACAAGGTCTTACTGATGTAGCCTAAACTGGGGACCCTTCTGTTCTAGTCTCCAGACTGCTAGGACTATAGGTATCTACTACCATACCTAGCCTTTCTTTTCAACTAAAGACTCCATTCCTGGGGCAGAAGAGATGACTTAGCAGTTAAGAGCACTTGCTGTTCTTACAGAAGAGACAGGTTTGGTTTCCAGTACTCACAGCCACCTGTAACTCCAGTTCCAGGGGAATCCCATGCCCTCTTGCAGCTTCCCCAGGAGTGCACATAATGTGCATACACAGGCGCAGGGAAAACACTTAGACACATAAAAGAAGTCATTTAAAAACTTTAAAGATTCCATTCCTGTACATATGCACAAGCTGATTAAAAAAGTAAGCCCATATAATCTTCCTTTTAAGATGGCTGTTTCTGGGGCTGGAGAGATAGATAGGGTGGTAGTAGTTAAGAGCACTGGCTGCTCTTCCAGAGGAACTAAGTTCAATTCCCAACACCAGCATGACAGCTCACAACTGTTTATAACTCCAGTTTCAGGGAATCTGGCATCTTCACATAGACATACAAGTACAAGCAGGCACAACATCAATGTACATAAAATAAAAAAAAAATTAAATCAAAGAAAAAGAAAAAAAAAACTATTTCTGACTTGGGAGGCAGAAGCAAGCTGATCTGAGTTCAGCCATAGGATGACCTCTGGAGCTTGTTAGCTGTCTCCTTAGCTTGAAACACTTGTCTTAAAATAAGGTGGAGGCTGGGCTGGAGAGATGGCTCAGTGG